TAGCCTGCATTATCTATCGTATAATAATATACTATTATTGATCCCAAGAAGCGCAAATATTGTTTATAGAGGGACAAACTACCAACATATAATAATGGAACATTATCTTATAAGATTACTATCTATTACTATCTATTCGTTTTAATACACACTGTTTATTACACTCGAAATAATGCGCATTCTTTACTCGGATGATTTACGTCTCTCGCCTGACCGCTCGAGATGCAAACCTCATCCTAGTGAATAATAGCCTGCATTATCTATCGTATAATAATATACTATTATTGATCCCAAGAAGCGCAAATATTGTTTATAGAGGGACAAACTACCAACATATAATAATGGAACATTATCTTATAAGATTACTATAGTTATACAAATAATAGTATATTAAAGAACTAATGTCATAAGACGTCATTTTGTCGCACGAGGACAATTAATAAAACGAGCGACGAGGAGCGAGTTTTGTAATGGACTAGTGCGAGAAAAGGTCTTATGACATGAGTGCTTTATGCTATTTTATCTATTTTGCAAAAATTCTATAAAAAAATTAATTGTATACCTTATTTAATTTGGTAGAATTTTACTTTAGATAGTTGGTATCACAGTCATTGGTTTGAAAATCGATTCGCCATGGCGTCCTTAATTTACTTATTAGCTGGCCATACACAGGCGTTATTTCGCGCGGTTTATCGTGGCGTGTTGGGATGTAGCGGTTAGTATGCACGAAAGAACGGCATGGCAAAAAAAGCGTCATGTTCCATACACTTGATAAAGTATTCAAATGATTTAGCAAGTGATTGCCCGTGGTATCTCAGTTTCAAAGGAAAAATCGTATGTGAGTGGGCAAAAAGTGTCATTTATCGAGTCGTTTGAAACTGCATGTGATCATGTACAAATTTTCAACGTGAAATTTTGCCAAGCAAAGGTAAACCGTGACGCGGAATGTGGCGTGTGGACACGCCACACTCCAGAGAAAAGCACGTCTGAAATCCCTTCCCGTTCTATCATTGCGCGCGGCGATACTCACTCACGTACATGATTTTCCATATGTTTTTGCAGATAACACGATAAACCGCGCGCAATAACGTCTGTGTATGGCCGGCTATTTACAATAAGCGGCTGTTAATATTAAAGAAGAAAAAAGGATTTTCTTTGGTGTTAAACAAATTTTATTGCCAGAAAAAGAATAAAAATTTTATAACCAATATGCAAAATATTATCTTACTAGTATGCTGTTTAGAGTAGCCAACCTATAAAATCAAAATTTTGGGTGGGGTAAAGTATTTCATTACAGGACCGAAAGCGGTGTTACATTATGAACGCAAAATAGATTTATACTTAAACAATGTAACAATACAATAAGACCATGATATTTCTATGTATTTTCGCCCGCTGAAACTATATCAAAACTCAGTTTAGCCCATAACGTCTGGATTTTTTCTGCAGTGTTCTCAGATCGTGTTTCCATTAGGAAAAACTTTTTTATTATGCGTTTTACAAAAAAAAATATTTTTTATAAATACTTTTGCTTGTTTAAAAAATGAGATTCCCATTAAAAATGTTTAAATCAAATGTACAGGGTCCTCAGAAATTAAGAAACATGAAAATCCTTTAAGAGAGAAGTACCCTGCAATTTACAAAAAAGATGCATTCCTGATAAAAACTCCTCATTGTTTAAAAGTACCTTTGTTTATTATTTTATGGAAAGTCGTTGAAAATTCTTATGAAAGCCTAAATACAAAATATATTTTGTTAACATAACATAACAATATTTTAAGTTTTAATTTATTATTTTTTTTAAATTTAATTTAATTTATCCCCATTGGAAACCCGATCCGGGGACACACTGTAGAAAAAAAATCAGACAGGTAGGGGTTAAACACAGTTCCGATTTAGTTTTAGCCGTCCAAAATACATATGAATATGTATTATCCATATGGAGCAGACCACTTGGTTTTCTTTGTGGGCCTGTGTAATCCAAGGATACTTTTAACCAAAACTATTTAACGAACTAGGATTGCGTAACAATCATCCGAGTTCGTTATATGCAATATCGGCCTATCTTGTTTCACGAGCCCTAACCACTATATGTTCGGCCTTTTTATACTTTATAATTCCAATATTTCAAAAGATACAGTTGTTTAAAAAAGAATATTTACTTTTTTAAATTTCTTCAATTTTACTCTCGTTATTTGTGAGGCCATGATTGACCAATATACTCTTATATTTGTACATGATAAGTGTATTTTATTGAAAGATAACTGACCATTAAATGTTTGGACAATATCTAGCACAATTCTAAATACAATTTTTGGGCGGCTTTGGAATTTCTGACGTTTAAAATTTTTGAGGTTTCAAGTTATTGTAGGTGTGTCGGTATCCTGTGACAGTTTCTAGCATTGTTTAATAATTTTTTGTTAAAAATGGGTCGTGGTAAAGCAACTCTGAAAAAAATCAGGGATTTGATCGTAAAAAAGTAAGCCTCGGGAGTTAAAATGACAAAAATTGCCCAGGACTTAGATTTAGCAAAGTCTACTGTATGGTCCATTATAATTTCTTATGGTAAAAATGGTCACACGACAGTAAATGGCAAAAGCTCTGGTCAGGTTAGTAACAGAGCGATTAAGAAGAAACTTAGTTCAAATTTGCAAAAACAATAGGAGGGTCACTTTGAGAGAAGTAACTTCTCAATGGAATGAGGAAAGTGGATCAACATTTGGTCGTGAAACATGCAGAAAAGGGATCCACAAGAGTGGTCTTAGCTTTTATAAGGTAACTTAAGGACATCTTAAGTTTTTAAATTTTAAAATTTTGATAAAAAATAATTGCAGGCCAAAGAAAAACCTTTAGTTACGGAAAAACAAAAGTAAAGGCGATTGGCTTGGTGCAAGGAAAGAATAAACTGGACAGAGGAGCAGTGGAGTAAAATTATTTTTCGTACAGAAAGTTTATTAATAAAGATTGAAGTTATAGATTATAAAAAGGCCGAACATATAGTGGTTAGGGCTCGTATACTTTTCATAATACTTATGCAAAAAGCTACCGTAAATTTGTTAGAATTTGACAGTGTCAATTTTAATGTCATGGTCAAATTTAAAAAACTTCAAGCAACGAAAATGCTTTTTTCAAGAAAACTGGGCTTTGATAGCTATTTGTTACAGTCGTGTATTTGTAAAATTCGTTTAAAAAAACGCGATGGACATTCAAGATATCAAAGAAAATATTCATGCTGTAGAGGCCGCATTAAGTTTAAATTTATATAGGTACCTAAATTATCTATAACAGCGCAGGCGCGAAAATAACTATTATAGCAGACTACATAATAGTTAATTAAAATTTTTTCGACTTGTATACCGTGTATGATAATAAAAGGGGTGTGTTTTTGTATGTCGGTATATTTAAAAAATGAGTAGCCAAGCGCTTTCGTCAATAATCTAATGACATCATCAGGGCTAGCCTTGTCAAGGCGAGCTTACATGTATATGCAGCAGTGAACATAAGGTGAAAAACATATGGCCCTGAAGGCCATAACAAATTTTACATTTTATCTTTTACAGGAAAACCACGTTAATTTTGACGTTTAACAGCGGAAGTATACATACAAAAATACACCCCTTTTAATATAATAGTTATTTAGGTCATTAGGCCAAGAACTAAAATAACCAATAAAATTGGCTTTCAATTCTTTGCGACTATTGGTCAAAAGAGAAGATTCCACTCGCGTGTTACCGAAATCTCCCCTTTCTCCCACTAGTCGCACAATATACAATATATAATATATATATTATACAATAGGTACATATTATGTATATTATACAATATATATTTTTTGAAACAAATAATTTTTTTAAATATATTAGTAAAAATATATATTGCCAGTGTTTGTTTACAATTGAGGACCCTAGAAGACAAGGGGTATAAGTACATTTTGCTTAGTTTTGAGATAATCATGTTTAAAGTAAAAAAACACTTGTAATTTGGAGTCAAAATTATTTTTTGTTTTATGACTTTGTTTTTTAAGATGACATTCAGTTATATCCCTTGGAGACCAAGTAAAATGTACCATCTTTTTCTGTACATAACAATTTTTTTTTTTAAATGACACTTGTATCCCTTGGCTTCTAGGGTCCTCAATTGTGCCTAATTTTAAGAACCTGAATTTTTATTTAAAAAAAAATTCGCCCCAAAAATAGCTCGCTCCCCTCCGCCCTTACACTCACGGCACGCTAGTGGTCCTTTCTAATTATAATTATTACTAATATCAACAACTGCGTAATTAACTTGCTCTCATTATGCATAAATAATTTTGTATTGTGTGCTCTGTTGTAAAATAAAATTGTAAATATTTTTTTACCAACAAATATGTCTTTATCAATGTCAATGTACAAACCTACAAACTGTACTGTTAAGCTTAACGTCCTAGGCGAATATAATTATCAAAACAGGGTCCGATGTAGGTGTCATTTTGTTATGACACTAATAACATATAGGTATTATGAAAAACAATTAAACAGCGATTTGTTCCTTAAAATTTATAGAAAAAAAATCCAGATCGCAAATTTATGAAATTTGAAAAAAAAAAACAAAAACCTTCAATCATCCCCAAGAGTTTATATCAAACTAACATTTTTTTTTGATTTTTTATGAACCACTTTATAAGAAGTAAACATAAAAAGATAGATGGTTTCAATCAAGTTGATAACATGGTCCAGAATTTTTTAATATTTGTAAGTTACTTAAAATATATACTGCGCGTCAACATTAACGCATAATAAGTAAAAAAAATTAAACTCTAAAACGCCTTAAAGGCGTTTTAGAGTTTTTTTTTACTTATGCGTTAATATTGACCCGCAGTGTAAAACAGTTCATAAAAAAAAATGTCTAATTTTCTACAGCCCTGGGAATAACTGCACTAACGCCTAAAGAGTAAAAGAAAAGTAATATTTAGAATGTAGAAGTGGGAACATTATTTTTGTTACTAATAATTTGAAACTCACCTGTATCCTGTCCACCAAACCTGCCTGTCTCTGCACGCTTTCGGCCACTTGCTTTTGCAGCGGTCCGTACGTTTTGCCCAGCGTCTCCACGGATAGCGGCGCCTCGCTGATGGCGCCGTCCTTGGATAGGGCCGACAAAAATACGCCCTTCATGTCCGTCGCAGCGCTCTTCAGTTCCGACTCGATCACGTCGCGCTCGGCCTTAATTGTTTCTACCTCCTCCATTAGCTGGCGAAGGGTGACCACTGCCGACGAGTTTTCCACGTTGCCGGTCGAGCCGGAGTGCGGCAGCGCCGCCTCTATCTCAGATGGCGGCTTGCTCAGGATTTCCATTCCGTTCTTGTGCGTCTCGAATTTCTGACGCACCACTTTGTCGGCCTGATTAGAAAATTGTCGGTAAAACATTTAATACCAAATACCTACTATTTTTTTTAAATTAGGTAATTCTGTTAAATAAAATTTTGTAATACGTAAAAATCGTATTTTTGAAAAGGGTCTTTCGATAGAACCTGTGTAGTACAGTGTGTATTTTGTATCGTTTTTTTATTGTAGTGAAGGTAACTACAATCCATTATTTTAAGCTATCCACTTGTGGCGAATTTTGAGATAAATTAGAAGCAGACTTAATATTTTTGGCTATGTTACTACCCAAGTAAGACAACTGGTTAAGTAACTTGATCTTTAACCAATTAGTTGATTCAACCATTGACATTTTTTAATATAAAGTAAAAAATAACCCGTTAAATTTACCAACTGGTTGCTATTACCTTATATGTAGTAAATTAAAATGTTAATTTTAAGTACATTTAACTATTAAAATAAACTAAATGGTAATATTAGTTAAAAGTTAAATATTTTTTTTTCATGACAATTAAAACTCTTAAAATAACCTAAATTAACCTTAGTTAAAAAGTAGATAAAAATGGTTTAGAGTAGTTATTTTTTTAGATAAATGTTAGTTTAGTTTAATTTTTAATATAACTTTTTCGTAAATTGGTAATCCGCCATTTTAATAAAAACAGACACCATTAATTTTTATCTTAGACCATATAACACTGGACGTATAATCAAACACAATTTGTGGCTTCAAGATGTGTTTTAACAAAAAAAACAACCTAAAAGGGGTATTCCACGATACTCGGGCCAGTCACAATTAAAAATTTATTTTGAAATATTGTTTATTATGCTTGTAATAAGCTTATAAGAATAATAAACATAATATTAAAAAATATTAATTTTATAACGGGTGGTTTTTACCTACTCAGAATTTTTAATTGTTACTGGCAGGACAAATAACGAGTATCATGGAATGTCCCAAAATGGTAAAAATTTGCATAGTTTTGTAAAAAAATACAGCGTAAATGCGACAGAAAGACGTACATTTATCTTTAAGTCCTCTTAGTAATTGGCATCCCTTGCAATTTCGACTAAAAGTTTGGTAGACTTGCACCTACATCATTGATACTGTCTAAACTATCATGGGAGTAAATTCTAGCTTTATAGAAATAATTTTATGAAAACTGTTGCTACCTTTCTGGATATTTTTAAATAGTTTCTGATTACTGATGTTGGAACAAATCTAATACGTAAACTAGAGTCGATATTTTTTTTTTCGATTGCACGTGAAATTCTTGTTATATATACTATAAAAAAAATTCTGTAAAAATTTGAGCCCTTAATATCAACTTGAAGAACTCCATCATCGAATTTTAAGATTTTCCATTGATTTAACATGGAAAAATGATTTTTTAACCTTCATTTCTCCTGCAAACTATGTAGAACATTATTTTTCGGAAAACCATCACTGATCCTTCTTCAGCATTAAATTCTGTAAAAAAAAGTTCTTAGGGTCCAGTCTCTAACGTCAACCCTCTCGTTTTTATTTGCGTTGAAAAATATAATTTTTTGAAATTTCGATTTTTTCCATTTAATGTGTAAAATTTTGATCTCAGACCATAAAGTTTGAGAAAATTTTAGTAGATCGTTCAATGTTTCACAAATCTGTGCCAAGAAAATTTTTTGTATCACTTTTGGCTCCAAAATTGTAAGTCTTGTATTATCTTTTTAAATGATTATTCGCTATCATAATAAATTTTACAAAAAATTTGAAAATCTATCAACAAAATATCAAAATTTCTTTATAAGAGTCAACAAAACGCTGAATTTACGCTTCAATTCTTTCAATTTTATTATTTTTTCCATTTAATATAACGGACATTTCAAGCGCGCGAAACGCACGAATTACAAAACTGTTTTTATAAAAAAAATTGTAGATTATTTATTATATAATATTTTGGCATTAAAATTGTCAAAAATATTCTTCTTTTATTAGGTTATACATTAGATAAAAAAAAACTCAAGAAATATTTTATGAAAGTAGATATAATTTTAATAATTGAAAGGTGTGGACGGGACAAAAAAGATTTATCTTGTCCCGTCAATTATTGAAATTATCTCTACTTTTATAAAATATTTCTTGCGATTTTTTTTATTTAATGTATACCCTAATAATAGAAGAATATATTTGACAATTTTGATGCAAAAATAATATATAATAAATTAGCTACAATTTTTTTTATAAAAACAGTTTTGTGATTTGTCCCGTCCATCCGCTTGAAATGGCCGATAACAGTTTTTGGCTGTAACATATAATTTACAAACAATTTTTAAATTTTTTAAGAATTTTTCCAATTACAACAGTTAGTAGAAAGAAAAAAAATTCCTTTATCAGCAATTCCTGTAATAAGCCGGTTACCCAAAAAACAAAAACAATTGTTTCAAATAAAATCTATGTGATAAATAACAAATTTTTATTTTGTATTTTTTTTTATTTGCATTCGAAGTCCAAATCATTATTATCCTATAACAATTGAGATATAACTCAATTAATTTTCAAATTTGAATTCGAATCTTTTTCAGAATTTGTTACTAGCAATAGATTTGTGAAACATTGAACGATCTACTATAATTTTCTTAAACTTTATGGTCTGAGATCAAAATTTTACACATTAAATGGAAAAAATCGAAATTCCAAAAAATCTATATTTTTCAACGCAAATAAAAACGAGAGGGTTGACGTTAGAGACTGGACCCTAAGAACTTTTTTTACAGAATTTAATGCTGAAGAAGGATCAGTGATGGTTTTTCCGAAAAATAATGTTCTACATAGTTTGCAGGAGAAATGAAGGTTAAAAAATCATTTTTCCATGTTAAATCAATGGAAAATCTTAAAATTCGATGATGGAGTTCTTCAAGTTGATATTAAGGGCTCAAATTTTTACAGAATTTTTTTTATAGCATATATAACAAGAATTTCACGTGCAATCGAAAAAAAAAATTATCGACTTTTTTTGGAACACCCTAATGTAAACCAATAAGTAAACCAATGGTTATTATTCATTGGTACCACACATTTTTATACTAAAGGAAGGTTTATTTTACAGGGTTCCCTATTTTAAAATCATTTCAAATTCCAGATAAATAAATGAAGGAAATTAGTGTCCGAAGAACTGTTCCGTCAGAATTACGGTTAAGACAAAAAATACTATTTATTTTTGTTAACATATATATTTTTTGATAAAAACTTTTTAAACTTACCTCTACAGCATTGTTAATAATTTGCCGATACTTTGCAGAGTTGGACCTAAAGATGTCGGTAAGTTTATCGGAAGCTACACGAGTCCACTTTTCCTTAAACTGCTGTCTCAATGAATCATCAGCTTCTTTTTCTTCATTTAACATCCTATCAGTCTAAAATTTTTTAAAAATATTGAAATAAAACATTACAGATTTTAAAGCATTTTATATTACCTCATCCAAAATATCCTGATTTCTCTGAAGCAACTCCGGAAGTTCTGTTACCATCTGCTTTAACTCAGTTATTCCTCCCAGCTGGCTGATTATATTTGCTTTCTCTAGAATGGATGGCGGAAGTCCACTGCTGGAATCAGCCACCTCGATTGCCGCTGGCAAATTTAAGCTTGCCAATAACCTGTGTGAAAAGAAAAATATTAAGCTGCTGAAATGTATTCAGAATTTTTACCCGTTAAGTTCTTGAGTAGATTCCCTAAGACGAGTAATTTCCGTATTTACGATTTCGGTTTTTCTTAAATCATATGAAGCCAAAGCCTGATGGACAGCAACTGGAACCAGTTCACTAAACAAGTCTGAAAACGAAAAAAGTATACATGCTTGATTTAAAAACCCTAGTCAATTTTAATCAACGTTTTTGTATTGCACTTCTTCCTTTATTTGGAAATATCCAATCAATCTAGAAATTGACCTCGTAAATTTTTGTACCTACAAATTTTATTTCACGAATCGATTATAGGTTGTAAAAACCCCCATTTTTGCACTGCCTACGCCGCAATTTTAAAAAAAATTCTCTTTTTGCTTGCCATAAACCAAGCGATAAAATGCAAATAACCGGTTTGCGCTACATATCGTCCCAATTAATTATCACATAAGGGCGTATCTTTTATTCATTAATTTTACAGGGCATTTTAAACATTGAAAGTATATATGTAGCTAAAATTTAAAAAAATAAATAAATTTGCTAAAAACTTGCTCTGTAAAAATGTCAAATATGAGATACGCCCTTATGTGTAATTGACCACCTATACCAACATAAATTTTGACTTTCAATGCGAATAACTTTTTCTAGCACATCGGAGCCAAAATTAGATTTAAAGGCTTACGATATTTTTTTTTAAAATTTTGAACACCCTATACCTTCAAAATAAATATATATATGAACTTTTTCCCTTAAAATCCTCCATGGATTGAGCATATTCAGTATTAGCATCCAATTAAGAAACACCCTATATAAGATGAAGTTTAAAAAAAACATGAAATACAATCCATTAAAATTTATCTTACCTCTAAAATTTTGGCTCATAGGATGTCCAGGCGTCTGCAATTTAGCCATTTGAGCCTTTCCGATCGGATTGACAGACTTTATGTCTGGAATCCTTTCGTGATAAATAAAATCATTGTCTTTTTTGGCCTCATTCAAGTTCCTTTCGGCCTTGTTGCAAAGAGTTTGAAACAAATATGGTATCCCTGAACGTTGCTGGGCAGATTTGAAAAGTTCAACGGATCTAGTTAACCTCGCGATTTCTTCGCCAATAATTTTATCGTTTTTGCAAATCATGCTCTGATAGAGTTCGGCGATTGCGTTAAAACCAGCCTGCTTTCCAGCAATCTAAAGAAAATAACGCAAATGGTTAGCATTATTAACTAACTAAAATTTATACAGGGGTAGCGTAAAAGTTGGGAAAACAGTGGATTCTTTAGTATGAAGTTAGTTCTAAAGGGATTCTTTTCAGGTTACAGGGAGTTTAATAAAATATTTTTTCTTTAGCCCTTTCGCGAACTTAAAGATTAGGAAACGAAATCTTAGCAATTGGTTACTTAGTGGCATACAGGTATCGCTATTTTTTAGAATTTCCTTTTTATTTTAAATAAAATTTTCCTCTTGCGTTTTCCCAATAGCTAAAATTTCGTTTTATTATCTTAAACTACATACAATAGGGTTCAAAATTTATTATAAAAACTGAAAACCCTGTAACTGAAACCTATGCTATGAAAAATTTTTGCCAAGGATCTGCCGTTTATTTTTTCCCTACTTGTATATCAGCACTAAACAACAAATTTAAAATTAAAAAAAGAAATTAAAAACAATTTTAATTGGCAATATCATTTGTATATTTTTATAAAATTAAAATAATTAAATTGTTGTTGTAACTGCTTTAATTAACACAATTTTTGATAACCTTTCTGGAATTTAACATTCAAGAAAAATACAAGGCAGTACCTTATCTTTTAAAAATACGTTTTTTCTTAACTTACCAATGGTACCCAATCCTTTTCCCAAATATTCTTCAAATTTTCTCTCTGGAATGTTTTTAAGCATTCTGCATAAAGATCTTCACAAGCAGAAGCCAATTTGGCAACAATGGATTCTTTCATGTTATCTAAAATAAATACAATTGATTAAGAGGAAAACAATTCCACTTTGTTGTTCTTGAATTTATATGTCGTGTACTAAAGGTAATACAAAAATATAATTTAAATTCAACTAATAAAAATATTAAGTTTTAAACATTTTTTATAGAGGTTGTAAATATATATTTTTAATTTTCAATTTTTAATAGTATCGCAAAAATTGCACACTGGCGATAGGGAAGGTTATTTTGAGTATAAAACAATTATCTACATGACAAATAGTTTTCATTTTATCACCATTTGCTCTAAAAACTCGGAAACACTCGGAAACATATATAAGATTTTCGTTAAATATCTTTTTGTTGCTCTTTTGAGCTAACATTTTTGCATTTTAATTTTAATTTATTTTATTATAAAAACAAAGTTAGATTGCAAAAAATAAATTATAATTCAAAAAATAGAAATATATAGAAAAGTTGTCCCACTATGGGATTTAAACGCAGAATAAGTCAGTTTTTTTAAGAAAAAAAATAAAAAAATAACGAACCTAAAAAAATTTCATACAATATAACTGAATATTTTGTTTGTATTTTTATTTGAAAAGTACGTTTAAAAACAAGAAATATGAAAAAAATCGTCTGATTACTCAGTTTTTAAAAGAGTACCGACGTTGTAGTATATATTTAAAAAAAAATAATTTGAAAGAAAACAATATTATTGTATATTATAAACTACCCTAAAATTAAAAATAAACAATTAATACGCACTTTCTTCTGATGGTTAACAATCAGAAGTTTTTATTAATTGATAATTTTTAAGTTTAGGGTAGGTAGCAATCAAAAAAATTTCCAAATTAAATTATTTACAGGGTCCCATTAAAAAAATATTTTTGTGAAAATAGTGAAAACAAATAAACAATGGAACGTCGGGTTTCCGAAATAATCACAAAAATAACAATTTTTTAAATGGACAACCAGTATATTTTTATATATTTAAAAATAAATTAATTTAAAACAACCTTATTATTGTATAACCACCCTAAAAATAAACAATTAATAATCATGGTTGTTAAAATAACCAAATTATTACATTAACAATCAGAAAGTTAAAGTTTTTATTATTTGATAATTTTTAAGTTTAGGGTAGGTAACAATAAAAAAAATTGTTCTAAATTAAATTGTCTTTCAAAATATCGCGAGGCAAGAATTATATTGTTCTATCTGCACTTTTTTCCAAATCTGGGATTTACGCTTGGTTAAGATATTTTAATGAATATGGTTATATTTACAATGACTTAAAACAATTTTTATTTCTCTTAAAGCTACAAAATGCATTTGAAAATTGTTCTATATTTTATTTCCAGCAATACCAAATCATTATAATGTTCTATCTGCTTCGCCAATGGGATTGTCGGAATTTTGGAGATAGAACATTATAATTCTGTAAATTTCAGTTTAAGACTGTAATTTCTGCGATACATGAGAGCTCTTTTGTGTCTTAATTTCGTGCTAAAAGCAAAAAAAGCATGAAAATATGGTGATAAATTTATTCTGTTATCTATTTATTGTATTTTACTTGCTTTTTTTTAATTCTAACAATAAAATATACAGGGAATTTTTAACGGGTGTAATAAGAAAAATATTACACCCGTTAAAAAGAGCTTTTATCGAAGCATCTTCAATTACTAATTGCTTAAACCAAAATGTGGCGTTTGCAAAGAATATCGTATTTTAAAAAATGGTGGTAACCTAGCTAGAAAAATTTTAAAAACACTTTAATTCAAAGGAGTTTTGCAAAATAAAAGGTATAAGGACCGACAGAATACAGATAAAACAACAGCCGTTATTTGTTTTGATATGGAGAATGTATTTGTTCTTCCACGATCTAATATTTCCTGTTTCTTTTATTCAAAAAAATTTAATAGCTTTAATTCAGTTGTCGTTTGCCTTAAAGAACTTTATGGAAGAATTCCCGGAGATCAAGGAAATACCACAAACATTTTCAGAGCCAGGGCAAATACGGTCCTCAGAGAATATTAATTTTAATTACCTTATGCATCGGTGAAGGTCCTTAAATATTTACCAGAATTTCCTACAAAAATATTTTACAAAAAGTACAAGATGACAAAGATTTTGTACAGGCAAATCTAATTTATCGTATTGGAACAAGAAGCCACAAAGGATTTTTTAAGTTGCCCGATGTGAGACCATGTCCGGTGGTAAAAAAATGTTTACTCGCCGAAGTTAAGGTTTATTTATACCAATTATTTAAATTAATTCCAGACGCTGATAAGCAGTATTAAAAGCATGTTTTAAAAATTTTAAGATAAGATGCATGAGAAAAAAAATTGAAGCTGGAAAAAAGAAAAAATGACATTTTTCATTTGGTTTTTCGTTTCATATTGTTTACTATATTGTTTAAGAATAAAGTTGTGAAAGAAATGCTTTTTTATTTAAAATTCATTTAGATAGAACAAAATTTAAAATCAAATTAATTTTTATTTTGTATTTTTGTTCTATCTTTATATTTTATATTTTATTTTTGTTTATTATTCTTTTATAAAAAGTATAAATGAGCAAAACATAATTCATAATAATATAAAACTACCTAGAAAAGTCAATAAATTATATTTTGACCAAATAAAGCCAACTAAAATTGATTTTTATATGGTCAATTTTTTAAACGCTTTTCCTGACAATTTATTGTTTATGTAGATAGAATATTATAATTTTCGCCTCGCGATATGTTAAAATATACAGGCTCCCATTAAAAAAATATGTTTGTGAAAATGACGGAAACCCGACGTACAGTTGTTTTTCTGTTTTCACCATTTTAATCAGAAGAAAAAATGCCATCAATTTTCTAATTTGACCGACTTTATAGCTCAATAATAACGGAGTTAGCAATGGTTATAAAAATACAGGGTTTCCCCAAAATCGCCGGATTCCTTACGAAAATACAAATTTCCTTTACCATTTTTTCGAATTCGGAGTTATTTAATTCTTAAGGCCGCCAATAAGGATGTTCCAAAGGAACCCAAAGGGTAAAGGTTAATTCCTTTTAAAATTTTAAGACGAGTTTTCTTTTACCATTTTTTCGAATTCGCAAAGTTGCACGAGTGTTTCTGCTTTCTGAGTGGCGCTTGCGAGAACTGGCACCGAATTTGTTTTTGTTTTCCCAATTATGGAATATCAGCTTCTTTTGCAAAACATAAAATGTAACAAAAACTCGTCCGATAGAGCAGCAAACACTGCGCTCTAATTGATGGCTTTAAAAATAAAATAACTCCTGCAATTTTGCGAATTTGAAAAACATGGTAAAGTGAAATCCGAACTATGTTTATATTTTATATTAAATTGAGAAGTTCTACCATACAGGGTGTATATTCTTTATACTCAAATATATTTCCTCTATCACCTGATATGTATGTAATACATACATACTATGTATGTAGGCATTTTGTATGTATGTAACCCAGACCAAAATTCGCTTTTTAAGAAAGTGCTGTTATTAACAGTAATTAAAAAGTATTTTGTACTGGGCATGCAAAGAATTATCTTTCTATTTGAAATAACTATTTTATTTTGGATGGTAAATATAAATATATATAAATATTTAATTAAAAAATATTATTCAGTATTTTTGATTAAATTAAATTATGGTTCTTGCAAACAAAATTCTTAGGTTTAAGGGGGATTAACCATTTGTGACAAAGTGTGACATGGGGGTCTGGATTATGTGCATAAATATTAATATTTATTCTGCCTGAAGGCAACACGTGGTTAAGACTTTGTGACAATATGTGACAGGGGTAAAGGGGGGGGGGGGTGAAAACACAATGCTAAGTAATATTTTTAACAAAATGCATTCGTGCAGGTGCAAAAATCCTCCTCTTCGACTCGGATTTTTGTTGCCACCAGCACACATGCTTTTTGTTAAAATATTATTTAGCAACGTGTTTTTTCGATTCTCTTCAGAAAAATTAAATGCCCTTATGATATTACTTACGATAAATAACCTGATATATATCTTGATAAATATCATGATATTCATGAGACGATATTTATCCTGATATATATATTTTTTTCTCATTCTATTCATCAGTATCAAGTATAAATGTATGGAAACTAGTATTTTTGTTTAAATATTTGCGCAACAGATGCCATTTAAAGAAATGTGACCTTGATTGGGTTTGGGTGGAGCAACAGAAACATTAAGAAAATCCCTCTACAAATGAAAATGAAGATTCAGATTCAGATCTGGATCTACCATTAGCCAGGCTGATTTCATCCTAAACTTACTTGTTTCTAGCCAGCCTTTTTTAATCATTGTTTTTTATTAAAAAATATTATTTTAGTTGTTGTTTTCTATTGGCTGTCGTAGTTTTTCAATTTTTTGTTTTTATTTGCAAAAGCAAAAATATATGATGTGTCGTCACACATAATATATTTCATCATGTGTGTATATTCATAAACTTGTATTTTTTACCTTCATTTTACATTTCTATACATACTAGTACTAAAAATACTTGTTATTGTGATAGCAACTTTCATTGAATAGAATAGATTTGAAATACAAATTTAAATGTTTATAAAATTTTAAAATTATAATAAATTAAGTAATTTTGAATTTTAAACACATATCTTTAATTCTCTAAGCAGAAATATATATATCAGATATTTGGATATTTATATAAATATCATATTTGCCAGCCCTGCTTTAAAAAGTATTTTATCAAAGAAATAGGTACTAAAACTTTGTAATAGTATGTACATTAAAATTATTAATATTGTTAAAAATTTTAACAAAAAGTATCAAGTAGAATTATTTTTGTGGAAATTCACAAATTGTATGAGTATGACTCACAATCTTGCATGTTGTATGGATTGTGGTAAAAAATGTTTTTATTAAAGAAATTACCATGAATAGCCTTGTGAACAAACATTTCCTGTGCTTGAGCCAACATCAGGGAGGACAATGCCCCCAATGTATCAGGATTCAAATCTGGAGTGGGATCTTGTTGTATTGTTAACATGACTGTTGATTTTAGGTGATTAAAAATTCCAGCAGATTGCTAAAAAAAAATATTTTAATTATTTATGTTAACACCACTTATATACTTTACCTGTAACAGTTTGGCTGAAAGTTTAAGACCCTCATCATTTTCAATGCTTTGTACTGAAGCTACAGCACTTTGTAAAGCAGCAATATTAAATAGAACACAAACTTTTTCATAGCTTAAGGAAGAAACAGCTAAAAAAAATAACCGAGATAAGAAATTAATTTTCTTATTATCTTCCTACATACTCAGACTAATCCTAGATCCAAATAATGAACCTTTATCAAAAGCATCCTTCCATTTAAAAGGCACCTGCAACTCTTGAGCTGGTATTTTGCTTTCTAAAGCGACAATTTGATCGTAATATCTAAAAAACGTAGATTAAAAAATTGAATCAATTAGAAGCAAGATGAATCATACCCATAAATAATTTCCAGTGAACTCTCGTACTTTTCAAATGCCTTCCAAATTGCATTGTGTCGTTGCTTGGAGAATTCTTCGATGGCTTCGCCACAATCCTCCGGTTTGTCTGCGGTGCTGTATCGCGATTGTATTAAATTTTTAAGCGGTTTTACAATATCGACTTCAGAAGGTTTTTTTAAAGGAACTGACAGCAACTCGGCCATTTTTAAATTTAAACGTCAACTGACTGATTGAGCAGGGTCGAAAACATTACGAAATAAAAATAAACGTTGCCAACCTAACATGGTTTGTTCCTACAAACGTGTCTTTGTTCCACATGTACCTTCAAGTCTTTTTGAGTTTATAGAATTGTTTGAGAAATTCTCCCTCATTTTGGAAACAAAAAATTAAAGAAAATAGTTTAAAATCATATAAAATTACAGAGAGTGTTGTAACATCTTAAAATTATATACAAGATTTTATAACATAAGATATCCATAATATTTTTAAATTTATTCCAAGAGTTTCAGAATTGCTAGTTTTATTTTTAATTGGCTCATAGTTTATTTCATAAACCAATTCATCTAAAACATGTTACCCATTTAATAAATATACAGCGTGTCCCGAAAATGGCGCATGGCGTACAACTGTTGTACTACAACATCGCAAGAGGTTATTTGAACTATAAAGGTTGTAAGAAAAGATTGAACCTACACCTCGCCAAAGTTTTTTGTTTCGAATGCGTTCCACCAACTTCAAATACCGACAGACAGCTGTTTCGACCTTTATTGGGTCTCATCAGTGTCGGGCAACTTGGTGTAGTGGAACACAATCAAAACAAATTACTCCCTCAGCTTATATGCTCGGTTGTTAAGTCAACAGAGGCGAGATGTAAGAACATCAGGTGATCCACACCGTCAAACGACGTGGCCTTTGCTGCAATCGGTACATACTATGCAACCGGGACTGCACACAGCAATTGTATCACAGATACTAATATGGCCTAAAGGAATCTAGAATTAACCCAAACGGGCTAAACATTAAGGTAAACATTCAATTTTCTTAGTTTCTTTAAGAAACTTTCTTGACCCATCACTGGTAATATTCATAAGAATATAAGAAAAGATTGAACCTACACCTCGCCAAAGTTTTTTGTTTCGAATGCGTTCCACCAACTTCAAATACCGACAGACAGCTGTTTCGACCTTTATTGGGTCTCATCAGTGTCGGGCAACTTGGTGTAGTGGAACACAATCAAAACAAATTACTCCCTCAGCTTATATGCTCGGTTGTTAAGTCAACAGAGGCGAGATGTAAGAACATCAGGTGATCCACACCGTCAAACGACGTGGCCTTTGCTGCAATCGGTACATACTATGCAACCGGGACTGCACACAGCAATTGTATCACAGATACTAATATGGCCTAAAGGAATCTAGAATTAACCCAAACGGGCTAAACATTAAGGTAAACATTCAATTTTCTTAGTTTCTTTAAGAAACTTTCTTGACCCATCACTGGTAATATTCATAAGAATATAAGAAAAGATTGAACCTACACCTCGCCAAAGTTTTTTGTTTCGAATGCGTTCCACCAACTTCAAATACCGACAGACAGCTGTTTCGACCTTTATTGGGTCTCATCAGTGTCGGGCAACTTGGTGTAGTGGAACACAATCAAAACAAATTACTCCCTCAGCTTATATGCTCGGTTGTTAAGTCAACAGAGGCGAGATGTAAGAACATCAGGTGATCCACACCGTCAAACGACGTGGCCTTTGCTGCAATCGGTACATACTATGCAACCGGGACTGCACACAGCAATTGTATCACAGATACTAATATGGCCTAAAGGAATCTAGAATTAACCCAAACGGGCTAAACATTAAGGTAAACATTCAATTTTCTTAGTTTCTTTAAGAAACTTTCTTGACCCATCACTGGTAATATTCATAAGAATATAAGAAAAGATTGAACCTACACCTCGCCAAAGTTTTTTGTTTCGAATGCGTTCCACCAACTTCAAATACCGACAGACAGCTGTTTCGACCTTTATTGGGTCTCATCAGTGTCGGGCAACTTGGTGTAGTGGAACACAATCAAAACAAATTACTCCCTCAGCTTATATGCTCGGTTGTTAAGTCAACAGAGGCGAGATGTAAGAACATCAGGTGATCCACACCGTCAAACGACGTGGCCTTTGCTGCAATCGGTACATACTATGCAACCGGGACTGCACACAGCAATTGTATCACAGATACTAATATGGCCTAAAGGAATCTAGAATTAACCCAAACGGGCTAAACATTAAGGTAAACATTCAATTTTCTTAGTTTCTTTAAGAAACTTTCTTGACCCATCACTGGTAATATTCATAAGAATATAAGAAAAGATTGAACCTACACCTCGCCAAAGTTTTTTGTTTCGAATGCGTTCCACCAACTTCAAATACCGAGCATATAAGCTGAGGGAGTAATTTGTTTTGATTGTGTTCCACTACACCAAGTTGCCCGACACTGATGAGACCCAATAAAGGTCGAAACAGCTGTCTGTCGGTATTTGAAGTTGGTGGAACGCATTCGAAACAAAAAACTTTGGCGAGGTGTAGGTTCAATCTTTTCTTATATTCTTATGAATATTACCAGTGATGGGTCAAGAAAGTTTCTTAAAGAAACTAAGAAAATTGAATGTTTATAAAGGTTGTTTTCTAAAGTTTACATTTTTTTAACATCATAATATTTTAATCATATTATGATTAACGCTTGGATGTAAACTAGTTTTAGGTATACCCTATAGGGTTTTAAAGTGTTGGAAAATATACACATTTTAATAAAAGTAGCAATAAACAACTTATCATTATTTAAATTTTAAAAAATCCTTTATTACAGAAAACACAAATAAAACTAAACATTGAATTGAATTTAATTGATTTAAAAAAATACTGGTCGGGTAATTTTTGCAAAAGTGATTCCATATATGAGTACATTAGATGCAAAACTCGGTTTTTGAAATTTTTTTAAAAATATATATTTTATCCTATAGGATTATGAACATGAACAGTTATGAACATAATAGTATATTATGTATCAAGTTTGATAAACGCCATTTTATACACGAATTTAATTTAGGCACGAGCGAGCTTGCGAGCGAGTGCTTAAATTAATGAGTGTATAGAAAAGTTTATAAACGAGGTGCATACCCGGACAACAATCGGGATTTTCTGGTAAAGTCATGATGATATCACAACGTGATTTTTTTTATCACGCTGTGATATCCCGAGTGCATAAACATGCTTCATCACAGTGATATCATGTAGAACTCACGGTGTGATATTTGCAAAGTTTGCGCATGCGTATGAGCCCTGCGAACTCCGAATTTAAAACCTAGTTTAACACATGATTTTTTATGCTATCGGTGTTTGGGCATAAAAAATCATGACATGATTTTTTATGCCATCGGTGCATCGACATGTTTGGATATTTATTTTTGCGCCACATTCGTACATTGAAAGAAAAAGTATGTTAACAATTGAATTAACAGTTTTTGCGGTTAAATACATTTAATATTTTCTTGGATGTAAATTAACTATTAATTTAAATCCAAAAAAATATTGAATGTATTTAACCACAAAAACTGTTGATTTAATATGCCTATATATATGTAGGTTTACTTTTTCTCTCAATGTACAAATGTGGCGCAAACATAAATATCCAAACACCGATGGCATAAAAAATAACGACATGATTGTTTATGCCATCGGTGTTTGGTCATAAAAAATCACGACATGATTTTTTATGCCATCGGTGTTTGAAAGAAAAAGTATGTTAACAATTGAATCAACAGTTTAACATTCAATATTTTCTTGGATTTAAATTAACTATATATAGTTAATTTAAATCCAAGAAAATATTAAATTAAACGTGGCGCAAAAATGATTATCCAAACACCGTTGGCATAAAAAATCACGACATGATTTTTTGTGCCATCGGTCAATCGCAAACAGCGATGGCATAAAAAATCACGACATGATTTTTATTTCTCACGCAGTGACATCCGGATGATGTCCGTATGAATAAAATTTGTGAAAATCACGACGTGACGTTCGTATGATTTTCATTTATCACGGTGACTTCCGTATGATATCAGTATGAATAAAATTTGTGAAAATCACGACGTGATGTTCGTATGAATATCACGAATGTTGTCCGGGTACTATAGTATATAGTATAGTATATATACTTTTTCTACGACAAATACTTATTATTATCTTAAAACGATTTAAATCAAAAAATTGTATAGTATCTGTGTGTCACCGTCAAATGTCAATTTTTTTTATATTATAAACAGATTATAAAGGTTATAAATCGAAATTTATTTCTTGAAATTTTACAGTTTTTCACAGTGAAAGTAAAGAAAATGTTTTATGAGCACTTTACAGTGGAGTCAGTGTCCGAATTTAAGTTATAGTTTACTGCCGGCGAAATTAAAAGGTCAGTACAATGTTCATATAAACTTTTCAAATATTGGCGTTGAGTAACTATTTAATACTTTTGTATTTTTGTATGGAGATAATAAAATAATGTTCACATTTAGTTTATTTTACAAGAAAGGCACTTTATTTTAACGATTGTATGACATTTGACAACTGTCAACTAACTTAAAACTAACTTCAGCCCGTGACTAAAAACCTGTTGCTAACTTCAGCCCGTGACTAAAGCGCCATAAAGCCACAACTTGTCAATGTGTATTTAAAAGGTCACTTAGTGTCATGGAAACATGTACGATAAAGGGCATTTTAAAGGTGGGAGTAGAAAAATATATTTATGTTCATAACTGCAATGCCCACAGCATACCTAAGTAAACCAGATGCGTAAGTTAATATTTGTAGAATAAAATACATTCATAAACTTAACGCAGATGTAAAACTGGGTATTTGTTTCTTCCTGTCGGATGCAAAACTCGGTATTTGCTGTTGACCAATCACGTCGCTAGTAAACGCATTACGTGACGACATAGACATAACAATCACCTGATTAATTGTTATTTTTTGGTATTTGCACCTTTCACTTGCAAAACTTGGTGTTTTAACGAGGAAGATGCAAAACTATGATTTTAAATTTTTTGATTTCAATTATTTACTAAACTACCTAATTTTAAAGGATTTTTCTTTACTTTTTTGAATAAAAATGATGCAAAAGGACGTCTATCCAATTTATGCATTTTTTTTCAAAAATAATCTTATGAGCGGTTTTTCATGTTTTTCTTAAAATCACTTATCCTGCAAATACAGAGTTGTGCATCTAATGTTAAAAAATGAAATATTGAAAATAACCAAT